GTAAAAACTTGTATGCGCTGATTATTCCGCAAGCTCACCTTCTAGCCACGTGCGTTGACGACAAAACGCTTTCATGGTACGGGTTATTTTTTTTTGGTGGTGGTACTTCGAGTTCCACCTGTACATTTATCCTCTGTGTTCACTAAAAAAATAGGCCCTTAGCCTCTTCCAGGCGTCACAGAATATGGCATCCATGAAGTTGGTTTCACGCACGTCCGGAGCTTTCCAGTACAACCAAGACTAGAGTACAACGTGGTGGAATTAGACACTGTATTCAAATTCATCGGATTCATCAGCCCGTCATTTAACCCAGGTTTCATACTCGACTTTAGAATACGGCCAGTTTTACGCACTCTTATTGTGAGCGTTTGTTAAGATGAGGTAGACTTGATCCAGCATTCTAGAATGGTGGGTCAGTAACCATGGCATTAACGTTTACATCCATTTACGTGCGTAATCACGCTGTGGGTGATTTAGAAGTGAAGAAAACTAATTCCTCACGTTTAAATTTCGTGACTTTTCGGCGAATGTGGGGTTGGATCTGGGTTGGGCTTCGAGCAGAACCGATGCCATTATCGCTCACGCGACCCCCTCCGACTCCTATAGCCACAAACACCCTAGAGATTAGAGTTGCAGCAAAACTGTGTGGTATCTGGCGATGATTCTGTGGTGCTCACGTGAACAGGAGTCAAACAGACACGTCTGAGGAAGGTACCACTTGTGTGTCCATGTTCAATGTAGCAGTGTAGTTAAAGATCTTTCAGTAAATGTGGATTAATTTTACAAAAACTCGGTGTCCCCAATCGACTGACCGTCTGTTCTGATTGCTTCCCTCATAAACACGCGACTCAAGAGGCGCTAGCAGTGCTTTTTCAGGCAAATGTCAGCATCCGGGCCTGTTTTGAAGGTTATAGTCGGAAGAGTCAGGTGTTGTTTCATGTGAAAAATGCGCCAATGGACTGTAGAGACCGATGCCATGGAGGTAATCATCGCCGATACTGATAAAAACCAGCGACATCGGCAGGGGTATTGTGTTTCATTGTTGTGGAAACGGCACTTCCACACCTAATTTTCCACCGACTACCAGTAGTATATCTGGATTCAATCCAATGTAATAGAAACTGGGTGTGTGTGGACTGATCTCAGTCAAATCCCGGTGAAGAACCGTCATGAAATTTGCATTCTAGAGGCTATTTCGTCCTTCACGTTCATCAGCCGCGAGGTGAAATGCGGAAGTTTTCACAACAACATCAACAACATGCAAACAAACAAACAAACATGACATTTGTGGAAGTTATCATCTGCGTAGTCTGTGATAGTTAGATGATCTTGAAGGCTGACTTGATAAGTTTATGTTGAACACGAGAGATTGCCCCCTTCATCACATGACAAATTTTTATTTCACCAATTAGTTTGGGTGTTTCTTGAAATCTACGAAAAAAAATTGCCTGAATTTTAGCCCTTTGATTAATCACGATTGGCGATGAGAGAATTAAAGTACCACCCTACGATTCTCACGAATACCATCGCTTTCGCACCCACGCCAAGATGTTTATTGAATTATTAACTCGAATTCAGGGTTATTTTCCGCGTTTATGGAAGTTTTTATGATTAAGGCGACTGGAGGTATAGGGGTGAGCGGCACTACTACCACACAGTCTCGAAAACAACTTTTAGGGGAAAAATTTCGGGTTGCATCACTCAGTTGCCGCCCCGAGTCTGCTTGTTGACGCACAGCGTAGTTTAGCTGGCAAAAATCCAACACTCGACTTTACTAGCTTCACGAAAACTGTGAAGACAAGGGACTGTCGAACGTTTAGGAACGGGGCAGGAGCGAAATATTGTCGCTCGGTACACCACGGCGTCAAATACTTGCCCATCGTCATGAAAGGCACCCTCACCAATACACGAGCGCAAATCCACTTGTTGGCAATCCACGCCTTCAATCCAATCAAATCACTTTAAGGGAGGTGATGGGACTATCAGCGTCCCGTGGTCACAAAGACCTGGTTATTCTGATTCCAAAATTAAAAATTAATTACCCTTTTCATACAAATCTTCGGGTCAGTTTTTGGTAGATTCATTTGTATTCAATTTCCTTGTAGACACCGGTATTTGACTCAGTGGTTGGGGAATCACTTCATCGTAGCGTGGATAAATTGACTAAATTTTGTACTTTCATTAACAAGGCTGTTTCGCTTCATAACCTGTGTGACTAAACAGCCAAGATTATAGTTTAATTGTCATTTTAGGGCCAGTGAATAATTTAGATTTTAAAAGTACATTCTAGGAGTAACAATTAGATAATAGCAGGAACAAAAGTTGTGTGAAGACGCATCAACAAATGTTGGCGTCGTAGCCCTTACGTAGGTGACGAAGCAACCACGAATCACAGAACAAACTTCCTCACGGTCCGTATTGATAAGACGTCATTTTCAGGAAGGTGACTTCACACCGTAGTTGCCAGTTTTCGAAAGTAGAGCTTTCCACGTTGCAGGAACACCTCCTTGATGAGATCCGTGAAGAACAGCAGAAAAGTCCAGCGTAAAAAGAAGTCAGATTAGAATCCATATGTCGAAGTATTCAGAAGTAACCCGCCAACGCTGAAGGTAAATGCCAAATGAACGTCTAACTTTACCCACTTTAGTACTAACTGGGATTGAGATACAACACGGTACTCCCATATTTTATTTGTAAAAATTGAATACTTGCCAGGGATTTGAGCTTAGCTCCCAAGTTTCATCGCGGACTGACTTCTTTGGCAAACAAAGTTAAGGTTTAAAATGATTGAGGAGCAGCCAAACGGCATTATTTACAGACTGTTGGTAGAACTTGGTTTTCACAAATGCCAGCGGTGTGCTCGGATACATTGACGTGGTGAGGTGTTCCTTGATTCGAAGTTCGATTGCTTGAATCGAAAGAAGGCACCTCCAAAATTGCGGTAACCACAAAGGTGGTTCTGTGGAAAGATTGGAAGCTTCACTGCTGGTGCAATCATTCAAACATCCACCGATTTCAAGTCTTCCCTCTTTTGGAGGCATGCGTAGACGGGGATGGACTAATTCATGTTTAAAGATGAATTTAGAGATTTGAAATTCAAACACAGCTCTCACAAATGCCGAAATAATGGAGGAAAAAATCCGTTTTTTTTTCAACCAAAGGAACACATTATAAATTTGGGTCCAAACCACTCAGGCACACTCATTCGAGGTCCGATGAAAGCACTTTTCTGAGGAAAAGCTTCAATTGTAGTGAGTTCCACGACTTTAAGAATCCTTTCAGGCTTCAAAACCGTCCGTTAAATGATGCAAAATGCAAATCTTGAAAAACGGAAGTCTTTTTTACTTATCTCAGTTATATTTTGATCTAAAAGGGCCAGGTTTGCAAAATCAAACCAAAAACGGTTTGATATTGGACTCCATGTTTGCCTCCTCCATCTTCACCTTATGCAGTTCGAAATCCTTTAATTGAACAATGCTTCATCTGTTAAAGGCATAGTTCTTACAGAGCTTTCCGATAAACCGTTTTTCTCAAAGTTTTTTTTTACCGTAGAATCCCCCCAGGTGTTATCATCCAGGGGTTACAGTTGAGCGTCTGTAAATTTCATAGAACGACCATCAGAGAAGAAATTCCATCGTTTAAAAACCTCAAGCATTACTAAAACCGTAATCGATTGTTTGGGCTACCTACTAGCCACCACCAGAAATCCTATTTTCAACAAACTACGTGCGCAACTACCGTGGAAGCAGACATTTTTGTCAGCAAACGCGATCTACCTGTACGTGCACACAGTGGAACCAATTAAAGTAAAATCAATATCGAGAGATCCACTTACCACAGTGCTGATCAGATATGTGATTTGTTAGTGCTAACGGCACAATTCGGCTAATTACCCCATTAGCCAAGACGGTTTACACTTCGTGGTTATTTCGATCCAAACGCGAGAAACCGCTCGGTGAATGCGCTGAAATGTCCCTAAGGACCATCATTTTAACTAGACATGCACGTAAATCCAGTACACAGTGGATAGGTGCGGTGTACAGCGCATTTTAAAAAATGCGAGGTGACGGTAAATTAATATCACCTCGGTGAACTACAAGTGTTCTTCAAAGTGCACTATATCGTAGAAATTAATAGTTTTCTAGCAACCACTGAGCGCTAGATTGGAAAATACCAGATAAAGATACGTCAGATCGTCATCACTCAATTACAGGCTGCGTGCCGATTTGCCAAAAAGCCCGAGTAAGGCTGTTTTGACAAGACGTAACGAGTTAAATGACCGTCGATCGACAAGGACTTCGTGCTTCGTAGTAGCAGTGTACAAGTATCGCATTAACCCCCTACCTTTTCATCCGATATCACCTTTAGCCAATGAGGCATCTGGAAACAGGCCTAGTTGGTAGTGGAGCCTAGATGGTGGATGTTTGTTTTGAGCGAAAATCGCGTAAACACGAGGGCTTTTTTCTGCTGCGCTGACAAGTGAGTACGGCATTCGGTGGCATGATGTGTGTGTGTGTGCGTGCGTGCGTGTGTGTGCGCGGAGCGGTGGCGTCAAAGGCCATAAATTTGGTCAAATGTTGGTATTTGCAAGGTGCTATTCACAGTGCATTTGACCGAAAGTCGTATGCTGGAACACTGCCTGTGTGAACGTGTCATTTCAGCGGAGTTATTCTCCTGAAATTAAGCGGTTATGCACGCACACACACACGCACGCACCTCAAACGAAAACGATTTTCGGAGAATTTGGAGGGCCTTTGATGCAACGATTTAGCACGCATTTCTTTCCAATGAACTGCCAAGTAGACAACGTTGTCTTGCAGCCTTCCGAACTCTGGTTACTCTTTTTTTGAAATAATTTGTGTGTCTCAAACAGGAGGCAAGTTCAAGGCCCTTTCCAAGAACTCCCGACCAAAAGATAGCGGTCCGTAGGGGCTCGGTTTTTACGTGGGGATGTTCAAGGCCAAAAAATTTTTTCTCACGGGAAAATTGTCACAAAATGAACTCAATTTCTCGCCAAAAAGCCTAGTATTAGATCGACTCTTCATGGTACGTTTAACAGGAGACATTGCTTAGCCTTTTCTTGTATAATCAATTATGTGGTACCCTTGTGGATCCATATTTCTACCCGGTGTTTTGGACTGAAACCATTACGAGATGCCTCAGAGCTCCAACTAGTTGCTGATTTTGTCCTACCTGAGGGATAACAGATCCGTCATATCCCACGACACTTCTGTTTGTGGTCGAACCTTCACTCACGACTTGGTTTCCACACTTTCTGTGTGCATGTGATTTCGTAAGTGTGCACAATTTTCTTCAGCAGAGTAATTGTAAATGCGGAATCACTGCTCAAAGCGCTTGACGGAAATGTCCAATGCGACAGACCAACTGGTCCAATTTAATTCCAGACTCCTATTTACTCAAAGTCGTGGATTAAATTCCCGCCACGAACTCAAACTACCTGCTTGAAGGCTAGAAAGCGAACCAACTGCTGCAAAGTCGTAGAGCAGCTCATGGATCATAGGAAAGGAGCATCGAGGATAACGTAGTGCCCACCAACGAATCAGAGTGCAGAATCTGAGCCGTCTAGAGTGACCGTATGCGCCCTGAAACCCCAAAATGGAGGCCCAGGGCCCAGCCAATTAGACGCGCTTAAGTTCAACCCGTTTTACATTAATTGGATGATGAGTTTTTCCGGCTCCACACAAACCACGGGGGTCGGTTTCTTAGCCAGACGGAGTGAGCGCCTGAATGGTGAGGCCAGGCATCTCGAAGTGGTTCAGTTTTTATGTAAAAAAAGCGACAACTGACAGATGAGTGCACGACCCTCCACGTAGCAGGGCTGGTTCCTCTTAGCACACATTGTCATAAAAAGAGATTGAGTCCTTTCTGCTACATGTTCGGAGGGGCAGGAGGGGGAGGGGGGAGGCTGAGACGAGAACTCACAAGTCGGAGTCGCGACTGGCACACACGTGGTGCCGCACCCCGCACACCGATGAGTAAGAATTTCGGGCCAAAACCGGTTTCTGTGATTTGGAAAAAGAGAGAGAGAGAAAGCCAGCGAGGTCTGGCCTGTCAGTCTTGTTGGTGCATTTACCAGCGCCAATTATTGCTCCAAACGTCGTGTGAGCACCTGGGGTCAGAATCCAAATTGAGCTGCGTCTAACGCACACACACACACACACACAAACGTGATAGACGGGTGAAAACTATTGCTCGTTCAAACAGGCAGATTATAATTTTTAATGCAGAAATTGCAATGCTGGTGTTGTAAACAAAGTTATGGCAAAAAAAAACGTGCATGTGCACGAATTTAAGCCGCGGATGCAGTGTGTCGGTTCCTGTGGTCGTGGATTCCTCGTGTATGGATGTGTGTGTGTGTGTGTGTGTGTGTGTTTGATTAAACAAACCAATCAGATAATTGTTTGGAACTATTTCCAAAAAATTCGCCCCAGGAAACGGAGTTGGAGAATTAAAAGCAGTGGTAGTCTCACCGATGCGGCATATCGACCTTTTCAGATGTCCCGGACTTTGAACTTGGCTCTGCCGCTGGTCAAAAATAAGATTCCAATAACTAGTCAAAAAAAGGCATTGCTTAATAGCGCGTAGAACTGCTACGAAGTGGTCTTCATCTGCTTTCACAAAGCACCAACTGTGTTCTTTCAAGTGCACTTGAAGTAAACGCTATGGATTACCGGAATTTTTCTTCGAATCTTACTTTCGGGGCGTTGCAAAGTCCTCTTGATTCGCTTGGTGTGCACAACCGTCTTCTGATCCGTGTAGGCAGTTTGTGTGATCGCACCGAGTCCGTTTGAGTCACCGATATGCTGTCCTTCTATCAAAATGTTTTGTTGAATCTGGTTCAACACCACTTTCAACGACTGAAGGCACGTAAGACAGTGCAACTAGGTTATGTAAATACGCTCTCACAATTTGAAGATCCGTGAACCGCCAGTGCACGAACTTGGTCCCAGTTGGCTGCTTCAGCAGATTAATCCCCACCCAAATGACAATCACTATTGTCCCTTCGGCACTCTACCAATCTGGCAACGTCGATTTGTGCCGGGTTTTCCAGTGTTGCGATCAGCTTTACTCTCGTAGCTATAGAAGCCCCATTTCGGGGGGGGGGATTTCTTGGCAGTGTTTGAATCCCTCCACCACAATATTTTGGGATCTACCAGTTCGCTTTGGTGGTACTTCCTGTGGAATTATGTTGCTCCAGAGGTAGTCATGCTCCAGTGTTTCACAAAACTTCAAATTTGAGTTAAGCCAGTTGAAAATGTGGCGAGATTTTCCCCTGCTTAAAGACCACTGTGTGACGCCGCTTCTTCACAGTCCGCTGCTTCAGAGCAAGCTTCTGACAGCGAAGCAGTAAATGGTAGATTGACATAGAAACACAGTCTGTTTCATTGAGTTCTACTGTCGCAGCGATAAAGGCACCATTTCGAAGCAATAATGAAGGAATTCGTTGCCCATTCCCCGTAGTCAAGTAGATTGATATACTAGTTTTCAGCATCCGCGCACTTTCTGTCCAAGAACCTAGCGTAATGTTCTCACAGCGTCACTCTGAACGAAAAACGAGTGTAGGTTCAACCAAACTGTCGAGGTGGCTCCGTACAGTGACAATTTGGATACATTCGTAGAATGGACGGGTTTATTTTGGCCATTAGCATCTCCTCAGCACACCTCTTAACTAAGAAGACAATCGTCCTTGTGGATATTCCACCTTCCAAAGAAGGCTCAGCCAAAGGGGTAGGAAGGCTTGTTGTGAATCGTGTTTAATCACACCCCTTAGTCCAGTCGCTCATTCCCCGACACAGGGTTCTCCTTTTTGCAGAATGTCGCCAGCCGCGCTGATCCTCAACTCCCCCCTCGTTCGCACTATTATTTATCTTGGATCATCCTCACACCTAGATCTCGATGTTAGCGCATGTATGACTCACACATCTGAGCTATAAATACACACGCGCAAACCCCACACACACACGACACAACGACACCACCGCGGTTGAGCTCGGAAGTAAACGCCTGTGTCCACTTCCTCTCTGATCTTTTTCTTCATCGCGGACATCAGGAAAACGTAATCGGGCCAGGGTTAATTCCGTGGCCCCGGCGTGGTTCAGGACCACATGCTGGGGCCCACAAGTCAGCTCATATTTATCTATTAATTCGTCTTCCATGTGGTTACTCTGCCAATCCACAAAATTTTAACTAATCGGACTAAAAAGAGGCCACTTTAGAACTTTCGACGTCCATCCACGTATCTTTTAAGAAGCTTGCTTGGAAAGCTCAGCGTCTGAACGTCCGGCGAAGTATCGAAAACACGGTCATCAGGGACAGTCAGTGTAGTTAGGGAGCCGGTTGCCTTCACGTGGCTGAATTAAGTAATGCATTTGCGACTTTATGCCAGCCAAATGAGAAATGAGAGCACTTTAGTGCCTACTAAATCCCTATCAGATGTCCTTCACCACTCGGATGTACTGCAACCAGTTAGCGGGGCTTTGTTCATGAAACAAAGGACACGATTCAATGCTAACCAATCAGGGGCTGACTTGTGACGGCATTGAGGCGCTGCATCACCCTCGACCAAAAGTCCTTTGATACCGAGCCTGGAAACTCCTGACGCATTTGAGTACTGTCGTTGGATCTGGATCAACAGGGATCCGTTTCTTATCAGTCAAGCCGCTATCCAAGGTAGTTAGGCTAAAGGCACATGCAGGGAACACCTTGAAAACTGTCGATGTCGAGGTCGGGAGTGTGATTGTAGGTGCGTAGGCTGGGTACAAGAAACATAAATTATAAACACACGCAGTTATGCTACTCTGCTAGAGGCCACTGCTAGCTCAGTAGTCGCACATGACGCCGAAGGAATATCCTGGGATTAGCTGCAAATACATCAAAATGTGATTCACCTGTGCGGGGTCTGACTCAGAATGAATTTCCCAACTGGAGGAGGGAAATTAATTGCGTTTTGTGTCCTAACAGGTGGAGCTACGTGTCTTCACTAAATTTATAAGCAATGCAACAAATTAAGGCGACTTGACACATGACTGTGCATGGAGTTACATTAAATCAAGGATAAAAACCAACAGGGTTCATTGTGCTGAATTACTTCCGGAAAGCAAGAAGTTCTGCACGAACTAGCAAGAGTTGGGAGTCGATTAAAACCTTCCCCAAAACCTCTGCAGGGCCAAAACAATTTCCGGAGTTTGGATCTCTCGCAGTTCCCATGACAACCGTCAACTTGAAGGGCAGACAAATTGGATGGCGACACTCAAGGCACTTCCACATTGAGGTCGATTTAGTGTGGATTGTTGGTAATTTTATACACTGAATTCAAACGTTCGAATCAAAATGGTTGTGGTGGGAGATAAGGTGCTCTTCGAGTGGGTCGAATCTTCCCCAAGGTGTCTAAAATTGTCTTGGATGACATGAGGCCTGTCGTGTCACCAAAACGTTCGGAAATGTTGGCTTTTCAAGGGCTCGACAAGCCTAGAAACTGTTATCACATCCACAATTTCCATCATACACATCCCAGTTACACAGACATTTCTTTTCATCCTGATAAATGCTTTGAAGCGGGTCAAACAGTCTGGGCTAGAACTTTTATCGTTGAAATTGTTTTGATGTTAATTGGTAGATTGAATAGATTTTGTGTTTTACGAAGAGAAATTCGGCTTCTTCTTGCAGGTGTTTTCGTGGAATCGCAAACCCAAATCATTCCACTCACAAGGTTCTGCAGAAGCGCCACATTTGAAGGGCGTTTTCAAGGCTGGCGGTAAAGTTGTGTGCTAATGTGATTCACCATTTATATAAGTGCAGGTATTTCTTTTTTTGGGATAAGCAATTGTGCCACGATCGGATTAGATATAAATACATTCGGCGCTCCTAGTGACTTCAGGGTGTGGCACAATTCACTGCATGATTTTTCAAAGAAGCTCATTACTCCAGTATCGATTTCCGATTCTCCAATCTGGTTTATATCATTTTCCAGCATTCAGGTTAAGACATTACCACCGAAGTCCCCTATTCTCACAAGTTCTAGTAAAACCATGGTCCACGAGGATTAAGCCAAACATTCTCGGGAAATCTTTTAACAATTCTCGATCTCGTAATTAGGAAATATTCACGATGCTGGGATCGGAACTTAAGCATCCACACATTCTGCATTTAAAGTGGCGAAAGAAGGGAAAATATTGTCGTGACTCAAGTAGATGTAGTACCATTTTGAATGGTAGATTCATAGAATCCACGGCGTATCTGGCTAAGAAGTAACATTTACCACACCACGAATGTGTTTTACACAGCTAGAACCGTCGACAAGTTGGCGGAACGGAAGAATCCTGTTTCGTATACATCAATACCTTGTTCACTATCACCGAACCAAGCAGAGGTTTCTGTAGGTAAGCCGCCTATTGGCCAATACGAAGCCTCACTCGCTAACCCATGGTTTGTACCAGTGACTCTTACTCACGAGTTGATCGATATCATCGATAGTCGATTACAGTTGGCGCACGATTTTCACTGTTTTGTATCGATTGGACTTTGGGATTGCGGCTCAGCGAATGGCCCCGTCGAAAACCGGGTCTCCTAAAGCAGAATCTTGAATTTCCAACACGACCCGGACACGAAATGCTTCACGATTGCTTTAGGAGCGTCCGTTTGAAGGTTGTGCATGAAATTGGCCTCCTGTCATACGACCAATGAATGCACTAACTGCTTGAGGGCAAAATTGGCGGACTATAAGCGTCCAGAAACGGAATTAAGTACTTTTTTATAGGCCTACCATGGAAACGTTAATTTAACAACTGACACAATAAGTAATTAGGCGCCTATTACGATGATCCTAGGATTGAAACTTCCTTAAGTGTTGCCGACTTAAAAATATTAAGTGCAGTGCTTAATTTTTATCAGTCTTTCACAAATTTATTTAGTCTAAAAGAATTACCGTGACAATTCGTAAGAAAGTACACCCGTCGTGTCCCCTCATCCGATACACAGACAAACCCTCTTCAAGTGGATGTCCTGTTTCGGCGTCGATGTACTGGGTTGCCCTGGATCTACCCACGACACCCGGGGTACATTTCGGATTCTCGTAATAAACACACTTCTCGTCACAATTTTCCACAAGAACTGCTTGAAAGGCATGTGTTCATACGTTGACGTGGGTTGTGTTCGGTCAACACATGTGAGGGAGACCCAAGTTCCGCGTTTTGTCCTTTTCCCACTTGGTGGTGCAAACGCTTCGAAATACCGGTTTGGGTGACTTTCGACTGGGCTGCAAGCTCTTGTTGCGTTTTCGTTGAGTCTTCATCCAGCAGAGCTTGCAATTCCGCTTCTTCACACTTTCGAGGATGTTGTCCGGGGCGTGGCTGGTCAATAACAGCAAATTCTCCGCCTCTAAAACGCTTGTACTAATAATTACACACGTCGGCACCAACAACAGTACAAACTCACATAGACTTGTCGCTCGGTCCGATCCTTTCAAAACCACAAAGAGACCGCTAAAATATTTCTATATTTTGACATAATTTTAAACTCGAAGTTAAAATTCTGTATAAATTAAGGTATGCGCCTAATAGCATCCGCAATGCACATTTTTTTCCCAAGTCAAAATCACAACGACTCAGGTCCCCACGGCCATTATTTAGATTTAAAAAAAAGCGTCACAAGGAAGAACGACACATGGTTCCACTAAGGTCACCACTAGTACATACCACAAGTATCTTTTATCCGCGGTGGTGGTGGCTGTGTGTGAACAGCACATGTCAAGTTGAACCTCCGTACGTATATTGAGGTCAGCACTGTTGCAAACGCGGCCCAAGTCCCGGGTTTGGGACGTCGTGCGTGTTCCAGCAAGTCCACCTCCTCTCCCCCTCCCCCCTCCGGGTCAGCTCAAAGTGGACTCATTTGACGGGGGAGTTTGCGTGCATTACCCTCACCGTGGGACAACTTCCTCCGCCAGATTTAAGTCGCTTAAACTACCAAGAGGAGCGAGAACGGCAAGACTTCAGCTCTGGGAACTGCCAACAACGCGTCACTTGAATCGAGTCAATGCTAGCACATGGAGTTGGACGAATTTGGTGAACTTTGAGACGATATCGAGATTTCCACAGGTTTCGAAGTTCTCTCGATCCGGAAGGAGGCGTTTAGGAGAAGTGATGGGGAGGGAATTGATCTCTTATGATCTTCTGGTCACAATGACTTGGTAGGAGAAATCCCGCAGGAGGCATGGGGGTTCTGTGACAAAGGAAGGACCTGAAAATCAGAGAGATTACACCTTTCGAATTCTAACTAACATGCCTTAGACAAGCCATCTTAGGATATGCTAACTTAAAATCTGATGATGGTAACGAAAAATCAAATTCAAGATTCGCCATTTGCCCCAATTTCCAATGGAGAAAACGTTTGTGCTGCTGTGGTGCATTGCCTACGTCCAACACCTTAATGCTATTGGCTGTACGTGAAAACAATTATGTAGGAACCAAGTTTTGGGAAATTGAGAGGTGCCCTTGTTTCAAGTAAGATCCCTGGGTATAGTTGGAGCTACTTCCACCCGGCATCCACAGTAATTTTAATTTCGAGTCTACTTGCCAACGGTTTTTCGATATCAGTCAAAACACGATCAAGTCAGGAAACTTGTAGCCTGCTCACGACAAAATCCAGCTGCTCTAGCCAAGCAGATTTGCTCACATCTTGTGTGTCAGTGAACCCCGTTGATGGGTAAATGACATTCGGTAAATTTGCATGCGAACAAGCCAGGAATCTAATAGAATTAGGGTCATTCCCTGGGTCTTTCGGCTTTTCTGTGATTTGAGGTTAATCTGCTGTCAATTTAACTGCAACTTGGGTTATTTTCACATGGCTGTTTCTTCTTGGCAGTTCTTCTTCTTCTTCTTTCAGTTCTGCAGGAGAAAGTCAGAGGGAACGAGATTGGCATCCCATTTATCAAAAAATAAACAGTCTTACGCTCAAGTTGTGTGATAAATTCCTAAAAAATTCCAGAAGTTTCCATATTTAAAACGGTGTGGGCCTCAAGTGGTTGGCTTACAGATCTGCAAGGCGTGAGCTTGGAGTAGCAGCAACCGTCAACTTGTGAACTGTGAGGAAACACCGCTAGATATTAGCCAGGAATCGAAAATATTATCCCACAATGTCTATTTGAGGAAAAAGATGGAAGATCCGCCTTCAAGAAGCAAAATGCTGTTTCTGGAAATCAGGTGCCTTTGAGGTTGCAGCCCAAATGCTGAGAGCTTTACGGAAACCTCCTAAGGATGACTAGAATGATGTTCCGTCTGAGCGGAATTTCATAGTAATGACATTTTAGACAGATTTTCATAGGTAACTGCTAGAAAGATTGATGAGAAATTAATTGCTGATAATTTAAGGGCATTTCGTTATCCAAAGCCACCCGGTTATACTTCAAAACTGAACTGCATTCCTTTCGTTATTAGCAAAAGGAAACCATTTTTTTGGATTAAGTCATGACTGGAAATGGAGCGTGGTTTTGCGTATCAACCGTATGAACCGAAGATGTTGGTAGCATGGAACTTGAAAGAATCGAATCTATGGCAAGGTCTGAACTGCCGCAGCCAATAGAAGTGCGGTTATGTGTCTGACTGGGGATTGCAAAAAAAGGCTTTTTTGCGTACCTTCTTCATTTTGTCAAACACCGACAGCGGCGCAGAGCCATGAGCAAGTCTGCTAACTCAATATCGAAACTCAAGCATCATGTACAAATCCACTGAATCATCTACACCATGGAAACGCCAGACCATGTGTCGATCAATGAAAACTCCAATAAATTAGAAATTTGAAGAGGGAAATCCTCCAGGTTCATCCGCAATATTCTCTCGACCTAGCCCCTTCCCAGTTTCATCTGTTTTGTTATCTGCGAAATAATTTGAGCGACGATTTACTGTGAAGAGAAACCACTCAGGTTCTGCTAAGAAGGAAATTAAAAAAAAATTGTAGAACGTTGAAAGTAAACTGTTGATGAAAATGTGCCTTATTTAATTTTGCCTCAAATCGGGCACAAACTCCTGTCAAAAGCCACAATTTCGGCTAATGATTAGGCACATTACCGACGACTGCCCAAATCTGATTGGAGGTCGAATCCGCCAATTAGCGCCGGGTTCGTCATGTTATCGATTGTCTGTCGATTCGGGCTTTTATTAACTGTCGTCTTTTGACGGATGGGTTGTTTTTTTTAAACTTGAACTTCTCAACCAGGGTATGGGGAATAAAATTTGCACATTTTCACATTTGACAAAATGGCGACGCAGATTGCT